GACAGTGCGATTGGCACAGGACAGAGCAGAGTATAGGGCTGTTGTACATAGGGTCGCTATGAGTCGCAAGCGACTCGATGGCACATAACAACAACAACCTCATCTAATCTGTGGTGTTTAAAGTTGGTTTTGATGCATCTGAAAGTTGTACAGTGAATCAGGATAACAGAAGAAAAATCAACGCCCTTGGATTTGTGATATTGTAGCACTGTACTGAGTGTAGTGCACCGCCAAAATAACAGGTCTGTCTTGGAGGAAGTTTAACCAGGTTTTTCCTTAGAGGTAAGCATGGTGAAACTTGGTCTCATATATTTTTGACATGTTGTTAGGAGAGCTTATCCTTGGGAAAGGATATCATGCTGAGAACGGTGGAGAGTCAAAAAAGAGATGAAAACCTTCAACATGATGGATTCACACAGTGACGAACAATGGGCTCAAGCATGTCAGAGGTTGTGAAGATGATGCAGGATAAGCAGGATTCAGATCTGCTGTTAACAGGCTCCCTGTGGCACCAAACAACAAAATCATTTAACAACAGACTGATAGTCATGATGTTTTCACAGTTTATGTTCTCATGTGGAAAAAATGTTTAGGTCATAGTTTTTGGTGTTTGTGAGCTTTGTATAACAGAGAAGGAAGTTATCCTTACGTAGTATTTTCATCTTTAGAGAAAAAGAGGAAGAGAATAAAATAGTAATTTTAAATCAGATACAAAAAAGATAATATCTCCATCTGGATAAAATTTTATTTTGTTAAAATGCATAGATGTACTTATGAAAATTTGTATATAGTTGAAAGTATATATGTGTGTATATAAATATTATATATCAAACACTTAAGTAAGATTAGTATAAATCTGATGTGCTTTATTTTAAAAGTATTACTTTATGTTCTTTTCCGGTTACTGCAGCGCTAGCAACCACGAGCAGCAAAGTCTCTCGCGACACCCTCTACGAGGCGGTGCGGGAAGTCCTGCACGGGAACCAGCGCAAACGCAGAAAGTTTTTGGAGACTGTGGCGCTGCAGATCAGTTTGAAGAACTATGACCCTCAAAAGGACAAGCGTTTCTCGGGGACCGTCAGGCTTAAGTCCACTCCACGCCCCAAGTTCTCTGTGTGTGTTCTTGGGGATCCGCAGCACTGTGATGAAGCCAAGGCTGTGGATATCCCCCACATGGACATCGAAGCGCTGAAAAAACTCAACAAGAATAAGAAACTGGTCAAAAAGCTGGCCAAGAAGTATGATGCCTTTTTGGCCTCTGAATCCCTGATCAAGCAGATCCCAAGAAACCTAGGTCCAGGGCTGAATAAGGCTGGCA